AGAGAACCCCAAGGACTCCACAGTTCAACCCTGAGCTACACATATTCGCTTCTATTGGAAAGAAAAATTCAACCTTAGTTCATAAGATACCTCTCAGTAGTAGATGGCTATTGAACTTGTACACCTATTAAGAGTGAATGAATCTGAATTTTAAAATCTGAGATTTGAGACTGAGATTTTCAATTCCTATCTCATGTTCCTAACTACTAACCCATTATATGTTTAAAAAGGAAGTACAGAGGAACCAGGCAAATAAAAGGGAGTATCATTCTTGAAACACAACTTATTTTTCATGGGATTCTTTTTATTTTTTACTTTTAATTTTAAACAATACCTGGACCTCCTCAACCAACAGGTCTGACAGACTGCACTGCATTCCCGCGGGTTCACCATACAGCATGTTACTCCCTGCTACAAAAAGGTTGATGATAAGCAAAATAGAATGAAATTCTGGAAGGATCAAGATATCAAATCATATACATTTTTCTGTTGGGGCAAGATGCCAACCCTGCCCCAAATTATTTTATAAAGATATATATTCTCATGATTCATCTTCTGATTCCAGTGCCTTGTCGTGTACTTGACTTTAAATGTTTTGAGAGAGGTGCCTATGTTAATCTATTGTAGCAAAAGAAAAGGGGGAGCATCTTCTAGTATCTAGAACTTAGATTTAACCAGTCCTAGATCTTTGCCACCTATGTGGTAGGAGGCTGCATATTGTGCCATGTCATGTTTACTTAACCATGATGATCCAACTGAGGCTGCAGTGTGAATCCATTGACATAATGACAAAAGTATGGTGTCTAATTTATCTGTACAATAGAGTTCACAATGAGGAGAGTCATTCTTAATTTATGCAGATCGTTGCTTCATAAGAAAGCAAGGAGCCTTCCTGATGTATATACTGTATGCAGGAACAAATAGCAGCTTTTCTGGCTTTGGCCATGAGTAGTATATTCTTCCAATCATTCAGGATGACCCACAGGCCCGTGTGGGAGGGAGGGTAGAACTGAGAGACCAATGTAAGAGGGAAAGCTGGAGAAGACAGAAACAGGCCATGGCCACAAAGACCATCAGCTATACAGATGTCATCTTTTACAGCTTTTTCTGTAGTGGATAGATGGAGGTAGAGCAACATTGCGCATCACATGGTTCTATATGTGTCTATATCTAACTATAGTAACACCAAAATGACAATGTGTGTTTCATGATGTCATGATACAAGCCCCTACCCTTGGTATTTGCACCATGACATTGTGTGCAAGTTTGTATTGTAACCAGTGAAATTGCATCATGTTGTTACAATGTATGTTTTGCCTCCCTTTGCCTACCTCCACAAAGACCCGTGCATGGTTCTAGTTTCTGATTCAGGTGGATCAAGATGTGAAGTACTTAGAAAACATTGCTACCTATGGGAAATTTTCCATAGCAACGCTGCCATTGTTATGTAACTGTATTTTGCATATATAGTTATGTAACTGCTACAGCGTCTATTTTCCTTCTGTTCACTTTGAAATCAAGAGCCACATTTCATGATATTTAGAAACAGAGGAGCAGAAACTCTGGGAATCTGAAAGCACTACTGGAGAAGAATGTTATATTTAAGCTTTATGAAGAGGCCTCATAAACTCCACATTATTTGAAGTGAAGAATATTTGTTTAATAAAAAGAATACTACCCCCAATAGAATCCTAGATAGGCAAGCGTACTACAGATGCCACATTGATCTTTTCTAGCATCATCATTCTTATTCCATTGACAACTTTAAATGGTACGTCAAGAAAGGGATTCCCATCTGTTAGAACAGTTTCCTTCACTTTGAAAAAAAACGCGAACTCTCCGCTGAAAATAACAGTGGAGCCTACAGGCAGTGTCTTTTCAGGCAAGGAGAAATGGATATTTGATTAGGATATAGAATTCTAGGGAAGTTTGAACTATGTTTTTCACACATTGTATACCAATTAACATCCTATTAGTTCAGAACATATTGCCAATATTAACTTGGTTATGAATTTTGGGGACACAGATAATATAATAATTAAATCTGAGGCCCAGTTACTCATAAAGCCATCAGTGGAGAGCTAATTATAAAGTTAGATGTGTCTTCCTATTGTTTTTCCTTTTTAAACTGCCTCTGCCTATTTTTTTTATAATAACTTTATTAAATTTTAAAACAGAAAGATAAAAACTAAGAATAATCAAGAAAAAGAGTAGAAGAAAAGAAAGAATAAAGAGAAAGGAGGAGAACAGAACTGCAGAAAGATAAATTTTTAAAAAACTGCCTCTGCCTACTGATGCTTTTCTTTTCTGTTCTATGAACAAAAATGGATTTCTTAAAAGGTTCTAGAATAAAGAATATTTGAAGATTCAGATTTGGCCCCAAGTGCTGAAATAAAATTACTGGCATGAAGAAAAGTATGGATTGTGACCTGGAAGCCCTATAGAGTGTTGGCACAAGAGAACTTGGCATCTCTTCATGGGAAACCCCTACCTTGTGGATAATTAGCAGTTTAGGGTATATACCATATGCTGAAATCTTGTAAGCAGATTTGCAGTGACAATTGTTGTTTGTTTCCTTTTTATTGCTGAGTT